CATCATACTGACCTAATCCAAAGACAGAGACTAGACAGATAAAAAGACTAGGATTGGTGGATAAAGAATATTTGTTAATGCCGAAAGGAAAATCATATAAAAGCAATTCTGTGATTCATATACTGTACTTTTTTATTACAGCTTAAAAAAAACCACTGTTGCTCAGTGGTTAGAGTGTCGGCCCATGCACCAAAGTGTTTCTGGTTATTCCTGGTCAAAGGACAAGTATCTGGGTTGCAGATTCAATCCCTAGCCTGCTCAGGCACATGCAGGAGGCAACCAGTTGATGTGTCTCTCACATTGATGTACCCCTCTCACATCAATGTTTTTCTTTCTCTCTCTCTCTCCCTCCCTCCCTCCCATTCTCTCTAAAAATCAATGGAAAAAATATCCTAGGGTGAAGATTAATAAAAGATAAGATAAAGTAAAGAATGTATTCAATACATGACTGAATTGCATAAAAGTTCTCCACATGGAAAAAAACCACACAGAAACATACCGTATTAATTGCATATACAACTGTCACTTATAAAAAAACTACCTTATTCTAGACTTGCAAGTAAAAATACAAACTATTTAAATAAACCCAAAGCTTTATGACCCTTCCTCCTTCAGTCCTAATTCTGGCAGACAGAGAGGAGGCAAGGAAGGCAGTGATAGATCTGGGAAGGCGTGCTCCTTGAGGAAATGATTACCCTAGGAGAAATATGATCAGAATGAACACCTGTCTACTGCTTCCCATAAGCATAAGGTTTTGATCCTTTGAACTCCTTTCTGGTCCTTACCCCAGAAAACTATGTTGTGTTGTGGAGAACAGCAGGTAAGACTGCGTGTTTCCTCCTCCTATCCTGCCCTTAGATGCCCCAATAGAATTGACTCTATATATCCTGGTCTTTTGAAATTCTCCATTTCATTCACACTACCTAGTAATAATGTTTGCCCACTGAAAATTAGATTTGAGACATCCAATCTTGTATGTAGATACAATCTCATGAGGCTGCTTCATCAAATGAATCAGCATAATGTTTTCACTCACCTGTCTGAATACACATACTAAGCAGGAGATGAATTGAGAAAGAAGCCAGGAGAGCAACTATCAGCAGCAAAAAACTAAAATATAAAAGAGTACAACAAAAAGGTTTTTTTAATGGTATCTCATTATAACGCAAATTTTTTCACATTTAAATGCTCATAGGGACTGTTTTTGAGTAGCTGGATTATGGTCATTTTAGAAAGTAAGAAGATATTTTTCTGTATTTACCAATTTTATTTAAATGAAAATATATTGCTTTAAAACTCAAAAGAGAAATCAGAAAGAAACAAACTTTATTTAAAGTAAAAACAAATTTCCTATTTTAGCACTCTTGTCTGTTGACTGCTGGTTTGGCCTTTCAATAATTTTGCAATATTTCCCTTTTATGACTATTTTTCCTATTCTAAGTCTAAACAAAAGTTTTAGTTGTGAAACCTCATTGTCTTCTCAACTTCCCTCCAACCCTCCCTTTAGAATGATGTGTACCTCCCTATCATATCTTTATTTATAATATTGAATTAACACTGACTTTCCTAGCTATTAAACATACATACTCAGCAAACCAACCCCCACCCCTGGAATGCAGTTAACACACTTCTAATAACACAATTTGAAAAATGTATAAACAATGTAGCAATTGTCACCAACAATGTGAAAAACAACAACATGTATATCCCCTACTTATTCTCAGGATGATACAGACAGGACAAGCTTCTACAAAGCTGTCCCCAGTGTGGTACCCCCACAGTTAAAGAAATTCTATGTTTGTGATCCACTTAATAGTTGTTAATAAGTAGCAAAACAGAGAGGTTAAAGTACATTTGTCAGTAAACTAACATCAGAGGCCTCACAAAATAACAGTTTGGTATCACCAAATGGGAAGTATGATGTGTGATTTGATTCAGTGAGTGCACAATTCAGTGGTACACATCTGCATGTAAGACCCTGGAATGTAAAACATGATTTTTCAAAGGGAACCAAAAATTGAGTCCTATGATCATGTCTTGCCTAAGGTGTCCCATATAGTTTTGAAGTTTTAAAATTATGAAAGTTTGTGAATACGACCCATAATAAAAGCAAGGTAAGTCACTTACAAGTTGGTTTGCTTATCAAGATATTCAAAATTTAAAAATTCTAGGTGCACTTTCCCTCATGGGAGCATGTGGCCGGAGGGGCATTCCATTCCCCCAGGCACATTACTTTTGTCTTTTGTCTTTCTCTCTCCTAAGCTCCAAGGGCCCTTCTTCTGCCTTTGTATCTTGTTTTCTGAGCCCACACAGCCCAGCTGGCTCACTTCTACAACCTCTGTAACTTTCTAAATAAACTTTCTCTTGTAATTTGAAAAATAAAAAATAATAACAAAAAAACCTAAATGAGTCTGTATATTTTACTTTATTTATTTATTTTTCAATTTTTAGTAATTTATTTTTGATACAGATGTTTCTCCTTTTTCCCCCAGACACCCTCCTCCCAATCCCACACCCCTCCCCCAGCATTGTTGTCTATGTCCATTGGTTACAAATACATGCATATAATGAACAAAATAAGCTGATGAACAAAATAGATCCAGAGACATAGAAAGAAATATAGTTCAGACTGACAAACCTTAGAGGAGGGGGGCAAAGAGGGGTGAATGAGGTAAACCAGAGACTCTGTATATTTTAAATTCCCTAGTAAAATAGGTCTGCTTTTACTGACAAAACAAACTTGTTCATTCTGTTAACCATGGTGCTAAATGCTAAAGATAAGGTCCAGTTCTAAAGGATTTCGGAGTTTAGTGGGGAAACTAACTTGCAAACAAATAATTATATTACATGACACTAACAAATGAATATAAAAAACACTATGGGAACACAGAAAAGCCAGGAATGTCTTTTATGCTGAGCAAAGTGGCATATGAGCACAGTCTTCAAAAATGAAAAGGAATAGGCACAGACCAGGTCTGACCTCAGAAAGGAGAAAGACTTTTTAACAGTGGGAAGAAAGGAGGAGTTAGAAATGAAAAGATTATGTGCTTTACTTACACTCACAAAATTGCTTTTTATAAGTAATTTCCAGGGCTGATAAATTTTGATTCACTTTGGCCAACTTGACACAACAAATAAGCCACTTCTTAAGGTTATAAGCTAGTGTGGATCAAGTCTCCATTTTTAAAAATTAGCCACACTTTTGGATAAAAAAATGCAGATTATATATAGCATCCCTCCAAGATACAGACTAAAAACAATATAAGAGTAGCTGCAGAATATGAGTTTAGCTGAGAATGCTAAACTCTCAGAAATAATTTAACTAGAAATTATGTAACACCAGCTTCTGAAGCCTATCCCATTTTTCTTACTGTACTATCAAAATTAAAAAGGAAAAAAAAGTAATGGTAAAATAAGAAAAAACTCACCTAAATCCAAGGATACCAGTATGAGCCATAACATAAGCTAAGCCAAGGATGCCACTTCCCATGATGGCATGCATCAAATTAAACACTGAGAAACTATATGAAACACCTGGGGATCCCTGTCTGTGAAGTTCCTGTAAGTACACAAATTTAATAGTGTTAAATGTTTGCATGGTGAATTCAACTTTCATGAAGAAATGACTGACAGGTAATGGAGAAAATCTCCTGCAAACCACAGCCATTGTGTGACACACTTAGTTGCTCAGTCAGCACTAGATGGTTTCCTTTCCTTCCCTTCTCAAATCCCACTAGCAACTCCAGGAATCTAGTTTCCTAGTAAAATCATCTCCACCAGTACAGAAACCAGGTAGGCTTTAGGAAGAGCCATGATTAATCTGTGACTGCAAAAGATTAAGGTAGGACGGGAATGGAGTGGGGAAGGAGAGCAGGCAGATGGCCTCAGAGCTCTTGTGATTACTGAAGAATTCCTGAGTCATCTTGAGGCTGTTGTACTCAACGGTTGCTCCCTAATTACTAGTACTGCAACATTTTTATTTATATACTTAATGAATTAAATCCACCCAACTGGAAGGATGGTCATGAATACCTTGCAATGACCGTATAATCAGCAATTCATGTTGCTCTGGCGAGGATATGTCCCTGAAAACACCCTCTCCCAAAACAGCATTTGGGAACAAGGTCCTAGAATTTGTTACTGGCCAGGGATTTGAGTTAAAAAGCTGAAAGCCCACTGCACAGGCTTTAGGGTCGGGGAAGCGTTATGTACTTATTACCGCGCCACCTCCACTCCTTCCCCGTTAAGGATCTCTGTATGAAGATGTCTGCAGGGCCCCAATGACTAAGTCGAGGGAAAAAAAATCTTGTGACTCCTGCAAAAATCTCACAAGACTGGTGGAGGAAACAGGAAGCTGACAAAGATATCAACGAACAGCAGCGAGCTACAGGGCTGCTCCTCCAGCGGTGTACCCGCAGCACTTGTTCCACCTGAGCCTGCCTGCGCCTTTGCCAGCTTTTCTTCCTCGGCACGTTAGCCTGTTACCACATTCGTGAATTCCACCGGATCGCATCCGCATCTAGGCTGCTGCCTTTGGGCCCCGGGCCCATGCCACTCTCCCCCGGCCATTCCCCTTCTTTTCCCGGTCTTATTTGGCCAGCACTGCAGGGGAGCCGGGTGGCAGTCCGCGCCAAGAAGCCAGCAGAGCCAACTTACGTTGCTTAGCAACGGGCTCAACTCTTCCGCCTCCGCCTCCGCCTCCGCCTCCGCCTCCGCCGGTTCGGGCTGCTGGGAAGAGACGTACCAGCCCGGCTCGACGTTGATGACCCCCCAGGGCGCCTCCATGCTGCTCGCTGGCCGACTACCAAGTCCATCTGCGAGCTACTACCCCTGCCCTCCGTCGTCAGTCGCGCCAGAGGCGGAGCTGTGGGCCCCGCCCTTCCGGGTTCCCGTACCTTACTAGGGTCGAGGGGAAAAGAGGGAATCGGCGCGATCTGATGACGCTCGCTCCTCCGCGGCGACCAGTGATAGTGTCATCGAGGGCACGCCCATCTACCAGCGACCCATTTCCGAGCTGCAGCAGAGCATGAGGTGAGGGATCTAGTCACGGAGCCAGATGCAGAGCGACAGCAAGAATTAGGATGGTGACCTTGGTGAGGTGGCCAGCGCGGGGCCCTTTTTGGTTCGAAGGGGCTGAGGGTCCGCTGGCGGGCCTTCTGCCCGAGGCTGCTCCCCTCCTCGCGCTGCCTGGGTGCGGACACCGCGAGGTCACCGTCATCGACCCGGGGTGCTGGGTAGTGAAAAACTGTTTCTTCTTTTCAAAAGCTTTCTGGTAGATCCTTTAGCCACATTTTACATGGGGGAAGCCGAGACTCATTAAGTAATTGACCCAAGATCACACAGCTGGTTAACTGCTAGACCCAATTTGAACCCTAGCTGTGAAGTTTGATATTTTGCTTTACAGGGTTCTGGGCAGGGCCCTTTCCTCTTACAATTACTTCTTTGGTATTCCAGAAGGCAAAGAGACTAAATGATACTCTTAATGTGTAAAGCATTTAGTTTAGCATCTGACACAATAGGTACCCACAAGAATATCCTAGGAAATACTGCCATTGGTAAAGCCATAAATATAATGACCATTTCGTTTAGAGATGATCCCTTAAATCAAATCTCAGTGTTCCAATTCCAAATGTATTCTGGAGCAAATTGTGGGTGGAGAGGTTCATTAAGTATAGGAAGGCTGACGGATCACAAGTCCTCATCCTGGCAGCAGGTTGAGTTGAAGGTGCACATTTATTATTTGCCACTAATAAAAAGTCATTCTGCCCTGGGAAACATGGTATACTTCTCACACACCACTAAAGGTTTTCATTATTGGCATTTAGCATGTTATGTACAATTTAGATTTTTATTCTCAAAACCTGTTGTGAACATGTAAGTTGGTTTGTAGCTTTATGGTTTGTAAATGAATTTTTTTTAGGATCTTATGGAGGCCATTTGGATTCCTAAGAAGACTTCTCAAAGTGGAAAGCTGTAGAATAACTGAATCAGAATCATTGATCCCTCTAGCTTGGAAATCACTGATACAGAAACTTGGCAAAGCACCTGGTATTTTCTTGTGGCATCAAAGAAAAAGATTCTCAACCATGCCTGAAATAGAAACAAGTCGGAGAGACTCAGAATTGTTTTCACCACCATCTGATGTACGAGGAATGACAAAACTTGATAGAACGGCTTTTAGAAAGACAGTCACCATCCCCGTGCTTAAAGTGAGGAAAGAAATTGTCAATAAATTGATTCGATCCCTTAAAAGGGCAGCACTACAGCGCCCAGGCATAAAACGTGTAATTGAAGATCCAGAAGATGAAGAAAGTAGACTAATTATGTTGGATCCCTATAAAATGTTTACTAATGATTCCTTTGAGAAAGCAGAACTCAGTATTTTAAAGCAGCTTAATGTCAGTCCACAGATATCTAAATATAATTTGGAACTAACTTATGAAAACTTTAAGTCAGAAGAAATCTTAAGAGCTGTGCTTCCTGAAGGTCAAGATGTGACTTCAGGGTTTAGCAGAGTTGGACATATTGCCCACCTAAACCTTCGAGATCATCAGCTGCCTTTCAAGCATTTAATTGGTAGGTATGTCTTAGTAATATTCCTGTGCTAGAAAGCAATTACAAAGTTGTAATTTTAGTTTTTTAAATGCCAAATTGCAGTAGCAGGACACTTTATCTTTTTCATTTTAAATTGGATCTTAAGCCACATACTATCTTTTGAGAAAGCCATTCTGGAATACCCTTTTCAGAGTCACAGCAAGCTTTAAATATCAGTTCAAGCTTTTGGGTACACAGTAATAGGCTTAGATAACACTTGAATCACTTGCTTTAGCAGAATTCTTTGGCATCTTGTCACTTAAGTCTTATTAGGCCTCAGGACTATTTTGAATGCTAGGTTTCATAAATTTGAGTGTTTTAAGTCAAAATTGCAAGACACTGTTTACTCATACTTGCATGGATTCAACTATTGAATCTCTTCTATATGTCAGCACTATACTTTGTTTTCAGTACTCTTAGTTTTTTAGAAACGATGCTTGTGTATGTTGTACCTCTGTAGCCCCAGGTTTGAGCCTGTCCTTTATTCTTTGGGCCAAAAGTAAAAAAATAATCAAAATTGCCCCTCCTTACGTGAATATTTGATGCCCATGCATTCTCCAGATTAATTATTTTAATAGCGTGACTGTCAGAACTTCTGGGAACTATTTTCAGCTTTAAAATGTAGTGCTCAGTGTTTTGCATGGGTAAGATTTCAGAAATATGCTGTTATGCACTTCCTTTGTTTTACTGATGAAAAGGACCGATAATGCATAATGATAACATAGTAAATACTTAAGCAGATCCTTATAATTATGACTGGGCGCAAATGTCAAGTCAAGGCTTTCCTGTGAGTCATTGCCTATCCTAACTCAAACATTACATTTGTCAATCCTATTTTATAAATTCTCTTTCATAAAGGGGCACTCATAGATGAAAAGTGAAACAATTTCATAGTGGTAACCTTTTTTTTTTTTTTTTTTTTCTTTTCATTTCAAACTAACTTCTGTACCTTAAAAATTGAGTTCTGATACCTGAAGCACAACGGGATAAGAACAATGACTGACTACAGTTTATTGATATTACCATATTCAAAATCAGGTATCTAGTTCACTTATCAAAGAGAAATTGGACAAATTCTGGTTGTATCTCAGCATATTTGTATTATTAAGTACTTTTTACTAACTTACAAATCAAATTATTTTTCCTTATGCACTGAGATAGAATATAGATTCTTATAAGTTTTTTAACTGCTGACAAAAAAGTAGACTTTGATTAAAGGGCATCAATATACTGTTTCTGGTGTATTTTATGATCTTGGTAGCTTTTTCTGCTGTGGCAAATACTTGACAAAAGAAGAACTTAAGTAAATGAAAATTTTATTTAGATGAGACTGAAGAATATGTTTCCTTTATTTGAAAACATTATTTTGCTGATATGTATTTCCAAAGTGGAGCCATGTATTTCACATATACAGTAAAACAAACATTTGGTTTGAAGACAATGGCTACAGGGCTGGTGTTTTCTGGGACCATATGTGCCCCAGCCCTTACACATCTTTCTATTCTTTACCAATTCCCTATGATGTACCTTTTTGCTTATTGTAATATTGGTACATTTGAGAGTTACTAAAAAACATGGAAAAACAGTAGGTAGATCCAAACTCCGCAAAACTGTTTCCTTAAAAATGTACCCACACATTTATTGTGTGTTTGTATTGGAGGCTGTCAGACATTCATTTTTAGTGATCTGTTGAATTTTGAGAATTGTATGCTACTTCACACACATAGATGCAGTTTTTACCTATAAACCAAAAGAAAATACAGTTCATTTCATTTTTGCAGTTTTATCTTTTCTTTTGCAATTAACAGGCAGTATTTGTTATGAATTCTCATCTTTTCTTTTAGGCCAAGTTATGATTGACAAAAATCCAGGAATCACCTCAGCAGTAAATAAAATCAACAGTATTGATAGTACTTACCGAAATTTCCAAATGGAAGTACTATCTGGCGAGGAGAACATGATGACCAAGGTATAGAGTATGTTATTGTCTCCTAGTATGGTGTTATAACAAGATTCATGTTTAGAATCAGAATAGATGACAAAGATTAAAATATTTTAAATACCCAGTATTGAATATATGAGAATGTGAGCATTTACATATACTATTGCTGGGAGTGCAAATTTGATACATTCAGGAAGATTGTATGGTAATATATTGTAATTCTGAATAGGTATGTCCTTTGACCTAAAATTCCATTTATAGGAAATTATCTCAAGGATATAATTAAACAAAATTGAAATGATGTATGTACTAGGTTCTTCATTATTTTTATATTAAAATAAATAAACAAATGGAAACAACTAAATGTTCATCAGTAGAGAACTGATTAAATTCTGGTATAACAATGCAATAGAATAATCCATCATTAAAGTTTATTTGGCTCCATACTTCTTAAAATAAATTGCCCGTTGACAGATGAAGCAACAAAAAAGCAAGTATATAACATAGTTCAATTTTAACTAAATATCTATGTAAATATGCACATACATCAGAATGTTAACAGTGGGCATATTTTTATTTTAAGTAGTTATTAGTGACCGTTGTTATCATCTTTATACTTTTCTACTGACTACATATTTATTTTATAAGAAAAATCTGTATCAAAGAAAAAATAATTTAAAATATGTAGGAACAAATTCCTGTTATAAAAACACTTTCTAATCTCCCCCCACTCCCACCCCGATCCTCTGGAGTGCTAGATGTAATAAACTTTTTTTAGCCAAAAGTCTTAGATTTATGTTAATGTGAAATTTTGTACTTAAGCTAGGAAAATAAACTAAACTCTTTATAACTTGAAAAAACTCTGATGACAAAGGCCACTCTTAAAATGTTAAACATGTCTTTTAAATAGGACTTCATAAAACTCAGGACAGAGTTTATGCAAAATAATTATTTCTTAAGGTTCTAGGCCATATAGACTTAGGTGAATATTATTTTTAAGTATATTATTTCTCCATAATTTAATAGTATCAGAATATTAAAATACCATTTACTTCATACTTAGTGTCAGGCCCTAAGTAAAATGCTTAAAATGTAACAAATCCTAAGAAGCCCACAAGATAATGATGGTTGTTATTAATATTCTCTTTATGCAGGTGAAATAACAAGGAATGACTGAGCTGGGTGTTTGGAGCCAGGCTTCTGACTCCAGAGTCCATGCATGGTCCTTCCCTATATACCAAACCTCCACTGCCTACCACTTTTGTATAATGTGTGAGGTCTGTTATGGCAAGTAAAATTTGAATGGGAGTCATTTGATAATAACAGTGCTTATTTCAGCTGACATTAAGGCATACCTGTTAGTCATATGCTGATTGAACATTGTGCATATTCTTCACTTGGTACTGATTCTTAGGGTAACAGGTAACAACATCATCCTCAAGAAAAGATCTAAAAGTTCTAAGCAACTTCTGTAATTTTTTAAATGCTCTGTAATTGATTTCCTAAGTCATGAAGTTTGTTCTTAGGAATACTTTATACCTAATATTTTTACCATAAAATATATGTTAAAAGTCAGTATAATTTCTGTGCTCCAAACAGATCACATTTAAGTTTAACTTTAGAAGCTCATGCAACATTTAAGTACTATGTGTGTGTATTATGAATAAAAAGATTCCTGAGAGTGAATTTGGCTGAAATTAATGCTGACTAAAGGGAGTGAAGTATCAAAGACAGCGTGAATAAAACCAGAAGGATACTTAGAATCTAATTTTTAAACTAGATCTGTGCTTCACATTAAGGACCTTAAAAGGGAACATAGAAAGTAGATTTCAGGAAAAGTAGTCACAAGACATATTTAAACTTTCCAGGTTATATACCCAGAAAGACTTTTAGTTGGCAGAATCATGAGCAAACATTTCCAACTCTGGAACCTTAATAATATAGCCAGATTTAAACATTTCCAAATCCAATGTGGTTGAGGGGAAAAAAATATGTACAAATTTGGAATTCAAGTCCATGTAAGCAGAATATAGAAGATACATCTATCAGATTTATAGACCTTTCTGGCCTTTGATTCTTTATTAATTAAAATTGGGAAAGGAGAAAACAGGAGAATGATTTGTTCTATACACTGGTTCTAATTTACAGACATGAAACTTGCAAAGTCCAAGTAACTATCTTAAAACAGCAAAGTACCTGAAAATTGGATGACACCTAACACATCTATCATGCTTCCCTCTTACAAACTGAAAACTAAATGAGGAGGGAAGCTTGTTTGCTGTGTGGAAGTGCTGTCTGCAACTTAGCTACCCACCATGAGGATACATTTTTTCCTCTCCATCAGGTCAACCAGTCAATTGGTCTATCTGAAAAATTCCTCATGTGATTTGGGACCACTTTATGGCCCTTTAGGATGGATGACACAGGGAGCCATCTAACTTTGAAGAGATGACTTCTCATGAAAAAGTCTAATGCAAGATATTAACTGACTTCAATTATAGCATAAACACCAGAATTCTAATTAAAATGCCTTTAAATGCACTGTTATTTACTCTTAATAGTAGTAAACTGAAATATGTGTATGTGTGTGGGTGCATCCGTCCATATCAGCCATGGGTGCATCCATCCATATCAGTGGCTGAAATAAGGAGAATAACCAAAAACTTAATACCTTTTTCAGGTTCGAGAAAACAACTACACCTACGAATTTGATTTTTCAAAAGTTTATTGGAATCCCCGTCTCTCTACAGAACACAGCCGTATCACAGAACTTCTCAAACCTGGAGATGTCCTATTTGATGTTTTTGCTGGGGTTGGGCCCTTTGCCATTCCAGCAGCAAAGAAAAACTGCACTGTATTTGCCAATGATCTTAATCCTGAATCCTATAAATGGCTATTGCACAACTGTAAATTAAATAAAGTGGACAAAAAGGTAAAAGTCTTTAACTTGGATGGGAGAGACTTCCTCCAAGGACCACTCAGAGAAGAGTTAATGCAGCAGCTGGGACCACTGTCAAAAGAAAGAAAACACTCTGTGCACATTGTCATGAACTTACCAGCAAAGGCTATCGAGTTTCTCAGTGCTTTCAAATCACTTTTACATGGGCAGCCATGTGCCAGTGAGCTCCTTCCCACAGTACACTGTTACAGCTTTTCCAAAGATGCTAATCCTGCTAAGGATGTTCAGCAACAAGCTGAAGCTGTATTAGGCATTTCCTTGGATGTGTGCAGTTCAGTTCACCTAGTGAGAAATGTGGCCCCTAACAAAGAAATGTTATGCATCACCTTTCAGATTCCTGCTGCTATCCTCTACAAGAACCAGACCCTAAATCTAGGTGAGCAATTTCTGGGATTTTAAATGTAAACTATAATACTTTTCATGCAGCTTTCTTAGACTATATATTTTATATTACTTATTAAGTTTGGAATAGGTTAAACTAATTCTTGTTAAGTATTTCACTTTAAAACTCCTTGCCCCTTGTGACTAGTTTCTCCCAATATAACAGATTTGTTTGTCACATGTTCAATCTAGTAGGCTATTTCATTAAATAATAAATCCACAGAAATGTTACTATTTCATATAAGTTGAATAGATTAAAAACCTTTAAAATGCCTACCTATATTATTTGCTTTTCAAAAGTATTTTCACATGTTAAGTATCTTATCTAAGTTTTCTGGATCTGTTACAGAGAATCATGAAGATCCTCCACCTCTTAAACGCCAGAGGACAGATAAAGCCTGTTCAGAAGAAAAAACAACAGTGGTTTAAAACACTTAATTGCAAATGCTTTCTCTATCTCCCCACTAGATTGTTATGTAGTGAAATATGTATGATTTCACAAAATTTTAGCATTTAGTTACTTTAGTATTGAACTGTTATAGTTTACTCATGCTGTCTTATAAATCAAGGATTATCAAAGTTTAAATAAGTCAACTAAACTAAATTACCTAAATTATACTACATAATTATAATTTTATAATTTAAATTATTTAAATATGTCGGTCTCGAACAAAATAGACCCAGAGACATAGAAGTAAGGTTCAGACTGACAGACTTCAGAGGAGGGGGCAGAGGGAGGGAAGAGATAAACCAAAGAACTTATGCATATAAGCAATGAACACAGACAACAATGCTGGGGGGGGGGGGGGGGGGGAGGAGGCGTAAGGAGGATTTCAATGGGGGAAAAAGAAGAAACATCTGTAACAAAAAATAAATTTTAAAAATTAAATATGTATCTCTTGGGAAAATAGTTTTTGAAGTCAGGGTAATTGAGTGCTAACTAGGAAAGCACTAATATCACTTTACAGTTATCCTTAGCTGAAGACTGTAGCTAAGCTTTATATAGTACTCTTATACTATCACTAAAAAATAACAAAAATTAGATTATTTAGATCAGGAATATGCAAACCACGTCAGGCAGGCCAAATCTGGCCTACCACCAAGGTGGCAAGCAGCTTGAAAATGGTTCTTACATTTTTATATGGTTGGTAAAGAATCAAAATAATATTTTGTGACATGAAATTTGACTTTCAGTGCCCATAAATAAAGTTTTATTTGACTACACCATGCTCATTTGTTTACACCCTGACTATGGCTGCTTTCATGGTAACAGGAGGGTTGAGTAGTTATAACACAATGGGATGTAATTCTCATCACTTCATACTTGTGTTCAGCACACTACAAATCAGTGACACTGTAATAATTCAACAGCATTTTCAGTGCTATGTATATCACCAACCTATAACATTTTATTTTATTACCAGTGTATATCCATCATTTCAGAACAAGAAAAGTGAACTTCTAATGTGCTTTTATGGCACAGTGGAGTGTGAATTATTCTGATAATTGAATTAGATAACAAAACACCTATACCTGCACTAAAATCCAATATATACTGACATTATCAGAAGTAGTACTCATCTCAGTATTTCTAACTCTCAGACAACCTACTATCAGAAAAATTAGAAATTTAAACTAGAAATATAGCATAATTTCTTCACAATTAAAAATGAAAACAAGGCTGCAACCAAAGTAAATGTCCAAGTGACTTGTAAGCCAAGCAAGGTCAGCTATTTAATTAATCCAATAATTGTGAATTAATTGTTTTTGAATACAGCATCCAAAGAAATGTGTCCAGAGAAAGTAAACTTTTTAAGCCTATTGGCCTTTTGGCAAGAACAGCTGCTCAGACTTGAGATCATTGGGAGCAATATCAATAGTCAAAAAGATAAATAAGACCAAGTGGTTCTTTGACACTTGATGAGTTGATAGATGTTACTAATAATACTGCTCAGTTCTTGTTTATTTGAGGCATTAATGCTGAGTTTGAAGCTACTAAAGAATTAGCCCCTGAATACTCTGCATGGAACATCTGGTGAATATTTTGAAAGAAGTTGAGAAAACTAATTCTGTACAATCTGAGGTGGAATCTCCTAAGATGTTATAGTGGATGGTGGTTAAGACCTAGTTGGAGAAATTTACAAAGCTTGTGAAAATGTAAGGTGTTTAAAACCTACAGTGATTCACTATCTTTACCAGCATGTACCTTGCAGAAAAAAATTTTATCATATGTTACTGAACCAGTAGTGTTAATAGAAAACTTCACTTGTTTTCATGGATTTGAACCATTCTGTAGTCCTTGAATTTTGTCAGAAATTGAAGCTGAATTTTCTAACTTGCTTGACCTAGGTTTGATTTATTTAGCAATTGTAAAGTATGACTATAATTTTTTTTAGATCAGGGTTAAGACTGAAATTTTTCTTAACAAGAAGAATTACCCTTAAACACTGTTTTTTAGAACACTGAACAGCTTTGGAAAGTAGCTTTTGCTAAAGATAATATTTCTTAAAGATTTTCAACTTACAATTACAAGGCAAGCATAACTTTCATGTGAAATATACTGCATTAGCCATGTCAATGACAGACATTTGAATCACATTATCCTGTGTTGTACATTTTTCATGCTATCAAAAATTAAAACAAGAGCCCTAGTCAGGTAGCTCAGTTGGTTAAAATGTTATCCTGATACATCAAGGTGATGGGTTCAATCCCCAATCAGGGCACATATAAGAATCAACCAAAGACTGCGTAAATAAGTGGAACAACAAATCAATGTTTCTCTTTCCCTCCCCCTCTCAAAAAAAAAAAAACCCAATTAAAAAAAATGTCTTGCCCTGGCCAGTTTGGCTCAGCGGTTAGAGCGTCGACCTGCGGTCCTGAGAGACCCGGGTTCAGTTCCCGCTAAGGGCATGTACCTCGGTTGCAGTTTGTCCCCCGCCCTGGTTGGGTCGTGTGGGTGGCAACCACTCGACGTGTCCCTTGCACGTCGATGTTTCTCTCTCTCTCTCCCTCCCACACTCTATCTGAACAAAAAATAGAAAAAAAAATGTCTTAAAAAAATTAAGCCCAAGACCATTTTGTTCAGTGGTTAGAGCATCAGCCTATGAACCAAAGGGTCACAGATTCAACTTACAGTCAAGTGCATGTACCTGGGCTGCAGGTTCGATCCTTAGCCCCAACTGATGTCTGTCTGTCTGTCTGTCTGTCTGTCTGTCTGTCTCTCTCTCTCCCTCCCCCTCCCTCCCACTCTAACTAAAAATCAATGGGAAAATATCCTTGGGTGAGGATTAACAACAACAACAAATAATTAAAACAAGAAACAAGATCTCCCTTCTCACACAAATTACCAGTGAATATACTTTCTGAGTTCAGCATTTTTGGGACCTTGATGTAAATACAAAGGAAATTTCCATATTTCAAAATCCTTTTAACTACAATTGAGCTTCTACCTAATCGTCAATTGAAAGTGAATAATGTGCTATGTAATGACATGCTAAAAGGCAAATGCCTTCCAAGTGATGAATATGCTTCGAATCTTACACTTCTGGACTGATATCAGCATTAGGCAGTATCTGTGTGAAAAGACTTTTTTTTAAAGGTGAAATGTGTAAAACCTTATTACAGATAACCATTAACAGGTGATCATTTACAATTGATTTTAATGATAGGAAACTGTTAGAACCCCAATTAAAGAAAATGTTTATTCCCAAAGAAAAGGCATTACAAAAAATATATTCAATTATGTTTGGAATTTTGTTAATTAAGAAAATGTGGCAATTTATCTCTTATAAGTACCTACTTTATGTCCTCGATGTTGCCTCTTAGCCTACAAAACCCAATATAATTACTATATAGCCCTACAGAAAAAATTTGAGGACCCTTGATCCAAGTCATTAATTACAAACTTAAATGCCTTCAGAAGCCAGGCAGGTTATATAAGTAGATGAAGACAATAAATGATAAGAAGTGTAGGGAAGTAATGACTTGGAGCCTTTATTCCTTATCTAAAAGCACATGAAATTGTTTTGAAACTCAACCCAACCTATCCTCTGCAAGAGCTTGAAGGCTAATTCAGCCAGAGATTGCTAGTTTGAGACTTCTAATTTTTTTTCCCCTCCCTGCCCTCCCAGGATCAGGGCTTAATTTGAAATGGTTATCTCACCACCTGTTGACAGCCTAAAGATAACTTCTAAAAGAAGCTTAGATCAAATATTTATTGAATGAAATTAAGGAATACTAAGTAATAATGCACCCCAACTATGATGTAAATGTATTCAATACCCTTAATACCTGCTTAAAAGGGAGTAGGGTAGTTAATAGTCAGTCATGTTCTACATAATGAATTTCTTTAAATTCTCAAGGATATCAAGGTTAGTTGATGTCATTTATAACTCATAAAAAAAATTGATACTTGATCTATAAAATTTCTTGAAGTCGAATGAAGTTTTCTATCAGATGACTTTACATAGCTGTTGTTTGTAAGTTTGAGCCTGATAGTCATTTCTACAGCATGGACTCTAGAGTATGACCACTGGATTCAAATCCAAATTCCGCTATTGTAAAGTTGTGTTGACCTCTGGCAAGTTACTTACCCTTTCTATACCTCAGCTTCTCCATCTGTTAAAGTGGGGAAAATAATACTAGCACTGTTGTGAAAATTAGAAAATGTGCAAAGCAGGAAGCATGGTGCTTGGCACATGCTCAACAGTTGTTAGCTGTCATTTCTGTGGTAGTGTTGTAAATTGTTGAAAGGCTTAATTCGTGGAAATTAAAGACTTGTGCAACCTTTTGTGTCAGAGAGGAAAGCACTAGAAGGACTGGGAACAACCTCATCAATTTAGAATATTTCTGTTATTTAGTGAATTGTTGTCATTAGGTTATCTTTCACCATTCCCCTTGATCCAAAAGGATCATTTAACAACTTCTAAATTCTGCCTATTGAATAAAAACATGGCAATTGTAAGAGCAAAATATTTACAAACATATAGAAGTTTTGGAATTTATTTGCCAAATCAAATGCAGGAAATTCCCACAATAATAAGGTAGGCTCAAAAAAGTTTTAAAAGCTTTTGAAATGTTCTATTAATTAGTTAATTCCATGTAAATACATTATACAAGGCACTAAGAACTAGTAATAGTGTTTCTTTTTAAAAAACAGGATACCTGTCAGCTGAGTAGACAGAGCAAACTTAACTATAGGGTCCAAAGTTCTCACTGTTCTTTAAAGAGATTTATAGACTTTACTGAAAATGCTAATCCTTGGTTGGGGAATACCAATAGATGTGAGAAACAGGATGCAGACTGGTAAGAATATAGATAAAACTAGACTTCAAAACAAAATGAAAAATCTGTTTTCTAATTCTGGCTTTTTACTAACTTGTGTATATGATTTTGGCCTACTCAGATATTCAATGCCTTGGTTTTTTCAATTATCAAAGAGAGAGAGAAGTACAGTACGGTGAAGATGAAAACGTAACTCCTGAAATTATTACCTGCTTAGTCAAATAAGATAGAGTAGTTACATAAGGATATTTCTCCCTGATGTAACCAATCTTGTTTCACAT